CAAATAAAAAGACTTCAGAATGTAGGAAATCACTTTAAACCAAAAACATTTTTGTGAGGGTGTGTGAAGCATCCTATCTGACCCATTTCACACCTCAGTGTTTATTGAGTTCTAGCTATGGTACTGTACCTTTAAAAAAGGATAAATGTCCCCTTTTATAAACGAGTTTTTATGTTTATGTACTAAGTAATGTATGGCATTTTTATGCATTTGCAAGGCATTTTCTTCTGCTATAGCAGAGGCTGTTTTCCGAGGTAAATTCCTAAAATTCTACTCCAAAATTAAATTTATATCAAGTTATTTCTTCCCCTTTAGTAAACATACTCTGTTGTTTACCCCAAAGTTAAGGGCCCTTCCTCTGTTGTTTTTCTTTAAAAATCTTTGTTGCCACCAAAAGATAATAGATTATTTCAAAATTAGCAAGAAATAACAAATGTTTAACCAGTGTTCCCACAACATTTGAATACTTTAAATTTAAGGTGAAAAATCTGTGTTATATTTTGACATCCAAGATACATGTACTTCATATTGAATTTTCTGATATTGAAATATAAACACGAAGATCAAGAAGAAGTTAGGCTTAGATCATTGTCCAAAACCCTACTTCTTACTTCCTGACTTTAGCTAGCTTTATGGGCACAATAATAATCTAAGCAATAAAACATATTTATTTTAACCTTAATTAATTAGAACAAGATATGGAACATTAAGAAGTATATGAAAAACAAAAGGTTGAGAAGAGAAGCCGGACACAAAACAATTTATTTTGTGTTATATTTTCAAGCAACATAGTGGTAATTATTAAAAATATTTGGTATTCTGTCAACGTCAAAACCTAAAACATTCCAATACATCCCTCCTCCTTTTTTTTTTTACATTCAGTGGTAAAATATTTACACCTAATATTTGAAGATTGCTTACAATTTTTCTCTAAAAGATTAACAGTAAACATACCTTCCCATCCAACAGATTTTTAAAAGCAAAATGTCCTTGAATCTTATCATAGTTAAAGGAGATGGCTGAGGGAAAGATGACCAGACACAACCACATGACAGCAAGAAGAACATTCAGGAACATGATCCATCTTGTAAATACAAACAAAGAGCCAATTGCTGACCCATAGTTACCTAAAAATACAAAAAATAAGCCAATTGCTGACCTATTGATATAAACAATTAGCCAATTGCCACATATATTGTAAATACAAATAATAAGCCAATTGCTGATCTATAATTCCCCTTTAAATAATTATAAACAAAAAGCAAATTACTGATCCATTATTACCTCTTAATACAAAAAATGAGCCAATTTCTAATACTTAATTATTTATAAATACAAACATTATAAGCCGATTGCGGATCTATAACTTCCCCTTAAATACAATGAGCCCATTTCTTATCCATAATAACCTCTAAATACAAGTAACAAACCAATTGCTGGTATATAATATCCCCTTTAATACAAAAAATGAGCTGATTGTTGATCCAAATAGTTACCTATAAATACAATGAGCCCGAATTTCTGATCATTGTTACCTGACATATAGTACATAGGTAAAACTATCAGGTATTCAACCTTCACATTACTGACATTGATAGAAATGTGACCCACAATAATGCTCTGTAATTTGATAACTATTGACTCTCAAACATTTAGATCATCTTTGTGATTTGCTTATAAATATATTCCTTTTATATATATGCTAATGAAACTGAATCTGAAGAAATTGTTAAAGAGTTAAACAACATGATATCAGGTGTACTTGGCCAAACAGAGCCTAAGTGTAATCCTGCCTCTGTGTACTGATAAGCCCGCATCTGTGTATTGATAATCCTGCCTCTGTGTGCTGATAAGACAGCCTGTGTACTGATAAGACCACCTCTGGCTAGCCCATGCATGTATGTTGATATTTCAGTTATTGTTGAGTCTTTGATGTGAGTTTATCTTTATGAATGCCATAAAGCTATATTACACCATCCTGTTTTGTGTTTGTTATACAGTAGAATCCCTACTTAAGACCAACTCAGATTTAAGACCACCCCACTATTAAGACAAATTTTTAAAAGAACAGAATTTTCTTTTCTTTATGTCAATAGTTACATGCTCCAGAATTAAGACCATCCCGGTCATCCACTTTTAAGACCACCAGATTCAGTCCTTAATCTTTGAATTATTCTTTATTTGAACTCACTATTGAGACCACTAATTTTAAAGTATACCAAGATCACATATTTGTTGTTATTATCTGCTTGAATGCTCTTAGGCATGACACTTGATTTTACAGAGTGTAGGACAAAAGACCTCCCAGAAAAAAGCCCCCCCCCCCTCCAAAAATGACAAGGCGGACAAAGGCCCTCCCTAATTGAAATCAGACCAAAGAAAGCAATCAGATATGAATATCCATTATTAAGACAACCCCGCGATTAAGACCACTTTGGTCCATTCCCAATAGTGGTTTTAATTGAGGGTTTTTATACAACACTGACAGACATAACATCTGCAGGTATAACAGATACGATACCCTGCTGACCTATGTAATGGACTTATTCTATTGTTAAAGTGAATGAACTTCAATATCAAAATGCTTTACCTTCCATGTTTTTAATGTATGTCTTGAATATAACAGTCTCTTGGTTCTTTACTCTCCATCTTCTATACCAGCTCTAGAAAGAAATAACATTACAATACAAATGGTTGAATAAAATACATGTATATAGAAATGGAATAATACAAAAAATGGAACAAGACAAGCAGATTGGAAAACAAATAAAGATGTTTGTTGACCAGGTATGCCCACTTATCAATGGCAACTGATGATACATGTTAACAATTACTTTACCAATGAAGACTCACGGTAATAGGCAAGATTCGAGATGAGGATCACCTGAAAATCCATACTGTAGATTTCATGACCAACCTGCCATATTTGATCTATGATCTTAGTGTTCTCCAGATAGAGGCTAGTAAAATACTGGTCACTGTGACCACAACCATTCAGCTCAAAATCTAAAGCCTTTTAAGGTTAAATAAATGATTTGTATTTACAATTCATATTCAAATGTATGTACATGTATTAAGTTTGTAAGACTTCAGTGTGTAACAAGATGCATACCTTAAAATCTGACCAAATCAACTTCCAATATCCCATAGTAGCTCTGATATTGGTTTGAGTTTTCCTGAAATACAGGCAATATCAGATTTATGTATTGGCGACTGTGTTTCAGCTTTAAAAGGGAAAGAGAATAAATGATATCATTGCAAGTAAGAAATGATAAGAAGTGTGAGATCTATTTTATTCACTTATTTACCAATATCATGCCCTGCTAATCATTAAATCAAGCACAATATACTGAATATAATATTTGATAATTACCTAGTGCCATATCATATCTTTTTTAGTCACTCTGCAACACTTCACTGATTCAGAATATATTTAATAAACAATAACCAGTGTTGTGCTAATAATTAATTATTTACACATCAGTGATATATTTTCCAATTTTCAAAACAACCATGATAAAATATATCATGATAAATGAGAAAAGGGGGAAAAACCTGTCCTGAAATCAAGTCCCAGCAACAATTGAGAATGGAATTTACCCACTTTCAACATCAGTTTAACTTAATATACATGGTATATAGCAGGGGCTATCGAAAGCTACAGTTTTGTGTCTAAATTCAGTCAATTAAATTTAAGTTAATTTATCAACCAGCTGATGTCAGCTGCTGTTAAGTCATGGTTCTGGTGAAGAATAGGGCTGGATCAATATACCGGTAAATCGGTATTTATCGATTTTCCGTTTTTCAATACGGTACGGTTATCGGGTTTTAGCTATACCGATACAAAGGGAGACAACCTAATAAAAATGTGTAGCTTTTAAGGTAGCACACCACAGTAATGTAAGCCACAGCTTCGAATGGCCAGGGAGGATTTCTTGGATATAGTGAATATTCTGGATTTAAATGACTGGTTGTCTTTAAAATGCATTTTCAGCATAAAATTTGTTTTTGTGACATCTAATATGATCACTGGCAAATTCGAAATCATGGCCAGAAATCACATGCTGTTGATTATGAATGTCAAGGCCGCCATTTTTTGTAAACATTGCTTTTATACAGCATGCACGGTAAAAAGAAGTCATTTTACAGGGGGGTACAAACTTTTAGCAGTAGCAAAAAATCTACAAGGTTGAGGACTAGTTTCTTTGTGCTATTTTGCATGTATAGGGAGTTGCTAAAGCAGAGACGGTGTTCCTTTAGCCTGTATATTTGCAGATATTTTTTGCCAGAGGGTCGAAATGTGTTGTTTTGGGTCTCGGGCCACTGTAGATTTTGGGCTTCAACGGAATGAATTGCAAATTTTTTGACTGCCTGCCTATTGCAGATGGGATAATTTCTTTGTAGATTTGCAATCTTATGTCATATATGTTCTCAACAAAATGTGTTTTCTTTTTCCAGGTTGTGTAGTTTGGTATCAGAATTATTAGACGTATTGCTTGTAAGACATTGACGGCAGGAACTTGAAATTAACTGTGGAGTGCTACCATAAACATGATGGCTTTACATTAAAACTATCGTCTTTAAAATGTCCGCACGAAAGTCAAAAGTGTGGAATTTTCTCTAAAGTAAATGTTAACAAGGCCCTCAGCAATATTTGAAAGGCTGCATTAATTAGTTCAGGTGGAACAACGAATGTGTCAATACACAAAATGACGGATAAATCCGTGACAAAATTTATCCAGCCATTCAATCTCCTATTTCTAACCCTGGTAAAAAATACTTTCAGGTCGGCAGTAGTTTGTATTAGACCAAATTACTTGTAATTTAATCAAACACATATTGTAAACACATAAATCCTACAAATTTATTGATTTTCCAAGATGTGGTTTGCTAACTAAATAAATGTGACTGCGTGAAAACGTAGCTAAACACCGTTTCCCGGTACGTTACGGATTACGACACCACAACATCATTACATGATATTCATATTTTTATTGTAATTTTACCGTTTAAGATAGAAAAAACATGATTTGTTAGAAAATTTTCAATGTTCCAATACTTTCTCAGCGTGTATATTTCAAATTCTACAAAAATTTGATTTTATTATAAAGATCTTATAATTTAGAACAGTTGACTTGTAGACAGAACTAGACTCCTGTCATAATAGTGATGTTTTAATTATTTTCTGCGTTAACTTTTTCTAGTATTTACATAATTATATTTTTGCATTGAATTATTTCTCTACAAAGCTTTTTATTTTTTTTTCAAAATAATTGTTAAGTATCTAAAAAAAGGGGCCATCATGTCATTTTCAAAATATTATCTCAAATGTACTAATTAAGGTACCTATGCACCTGCTCTGTATTATATATCATCATTAACAAAGTCAAAATCTAAAACAGATATAAGAAAGATTCAATAATATTTCACCAGGGCATCTATGAAATGTAAATAGTACTTTTAATAAGTACATCCTAACAATGAAGCATCATTGTACTGTATCGTCAATACGTATTGTGTATCGTTGGTCTGTATCGCAATACGTATCGTATCGGAAATTTCTGATCAATACCCAGCCCTAGTGAAGAATATGCATAGGGCATTTCAGGAGACAGCGTTTTTTTCTCTACTTTGGGAATAGTGCCGGTACCAGACTGATTGGGAAAAAATGCGTTATTTTGACTAAAATTGGGAATTTTTTTAATGCATTTTTTCAGCTACAAATGAGATTATACATCATGAATAAAGATAGCTAACAGCTTCTACTGTCTAGATAGAACTATTGAGTGGTGATTTATATGAATATGTTGGATTTAAATGATTTTAGAAAAGTCACTTTGCCTTGTGGGCATTTTGAACAGTCATTTTGGGAATTTAACATTAGAAATTGGGAATTTTAATGTCTATTTTCTATTGGGAATGGTACCGTTTTAGGGTAGTAGTTATATAAAGAAAAAAAACACTGGGAGAAAATATTCATGTATCATTTTCGGGGAAACAGCCTTTATTTGACTGTAAAATACAAATATATAGGTAAAACAAGAGCCACCGCCGGGCGGGGGCAACGCTCGACTTTTTACTTTTTCTAAACCCAAACATACAAAGGTTTGAACATATATTGACGTTTCCTTTTTATAAATTTAGTTGGTCTGTCTTCTCACATTAGTTTTGTTTATATATTTTGTATATATATGAATAGAAACATTAAGCATATTTCTAAAAATAGCAACAGTACGCAATTTCTTAAAATAGCAACATGACGCAATTTCTAAAAATAGAAAAAAATGACGCAATTTCTAAAAATAGAAAAAAATGACATAACTTCTAAAAATAAAAAAATGACGCAATTTCTAACAAGAGCACCGCTAGGCGGAGCATTATATGCCCGAAAGTATTTTTTTTTTTTAGTAAGGATGACCTTAACCGTTGACCTTTTGACCCCAAAATCAATAAGGGTCTTCTACCCAATATGGACAATCATCCTATGAAGTTTGAACATTGTGGGCCAAATGGAACTTAACATATGCTCCGGCAACTCTTTTCAGTATCAAGGTAATAGTGACCTTCACCTTTGACCTTTTGACCCCAAAATCAACAGGGGTCTTCTACCCAATATGGACAATCATCCTATGAAGTTTGAACATTGTGGGTCAAATGGAACTTAAGTTATGCGTGGAAACATATTTTTCAGTATCAATGTAATAGTGACCTTCACCTTTGACCTTGTGACCCCAAAATCAATAGGAATCTTCTACCCAATATGGACAATCATCCTATGAAGTTTGAACAGTGTGGGTCGAATGGAACTTAAGTTATGCTCTGGAAACTGTTTTCAGTTATAAGGTAATAGTGACCTTGACCTTTGACCTTTTGACCCCAAAATCAATAGGTGTCTTCTACCCAATATGGACAATCATCCTATGTAGTTTGATCATTGTGGGACAATTGGAACTTAAGTTATGCTCCGGAAACTGTTTTCAGTATCAAGGTCATAGTGACCTTGACCTTTGACCTGTGACCCCAAAATCAATAGGGGTCTTCTTCCCAATATGGACAATCATCCTATGAAGTTTGAACATTGTGGGTCAATTGGAACTTAAGTTATGCTCTGGAAACTGTTTTCAGTTATAAGGTAATAGTGACCTTGACCTTTGACCTTTCGACCCCAAAATCAATAGGGGTCTTCTACCCAATATGGACAATCATCCTATGAAGTTTGAACATTGTGGGCCAATTAGAACTTAAGTTATGCTCCGGAAACTGTTTTCAGTATCAAGGTCATAGTGACCTTGACCTTTGACTTTGTGACCCCAAAATCAATAGGGGTCTTCTTCCCAATATGGACAATCATCCTATGAAGTTTGAACATTGTGGGTCAAATGGAACTTAAGTTATGCTCCGGAAACAGTTTTCAGTTTTAAGGTAATAGTGACCTTGACCTTTGACCTTTTGACCCCAAAATCAATAGGGGTCTTCTACCCAATATGGACAATCATCCTA